TTCCCTCCTTCTAACCGGTTCTCGGAGGGAGAATTGGTTGTTGGCTGTTGATTGATAAACTGGCGGGTGTAATGCACATCCTTTTGACTCTTCGTTTTTGGCATCTTCCTAGTTGAATTTTCTGTTAATTGACGCATTTCGCGTGCACACACTCTTCTCATCAGCACACACTCCACCCATGCCAACTTTCATCCATATATATTGTTCAGCCACACACACACACACACACGCGCGCGTGCACTAGGGGACACAGGTGGAAACTGAGTACCCAAAATGAGCCACAGAGACATTAGAAAGAACTTTTTAGTGTCATAGCTGACAAATGGAATGCATTATGCACTGATGTGGTGGAGGCTGACTCCATACACAGTTTCAAATGTAGATATGATAGAGCCCAGTAGGCTCAGGAATCTGTACATCAGTTGATTGACGGTTGAGAGGCAGGATCAAAGAGCCGAAGCTCAGCTCCCAGAATCACAACTAGGTGAGCACACTAAACATACTAACAATCTTCCCCCCTCCCCCCTCATACATACCACACTCATACAGTCCGCATACACAGGCTTTTTGCTCATGCACACGTCAGAGATCAAATTCCGGGCCACCAAAAACTCTTTCGTGTTATTAGAGTATAGAGATGCCTATATATACACACACGCACACCGCTAAATATACACCCAACACCGATATATATATATATACACACGTATGAAGCATACACGCTGGTGGGAACGACAGACGCGAGTGCGCTGGGATTTGTCAGTAAAGAGCAACGTATATGGCAGGGTTGGTGGCGGCGCGCGCTGAGGTCTGTCCGCGAGCTCATCCGGGGTAATCCGCGTGCATCCGTCGCCTGAAGGTCGAGCGTTCGGTGTTGAGGATTGATGGGAGGGAAGGAGGGTGGGGGCGAGAAGGGAACTGGTAAGTAAATGAGACGCAGCCCCCCAAAACCGTCGTCGTGAGTGTGTGTGTGGTGAGTGTGTGGTGAGAGTGTGGTGAGTGCGTTGGGTGGACGATTTTGTTGTGTTTGTGAGTGTTAGTGTGCGCGTGCGTGTGTGTACTTCCTTAATTGTGCTTGCGGGGGGGTTGAGCTCTGGCTCTTTGGTCCCGCCTCTCAACTGTCAATCAACTAATGTAAAGGTGCCTGAGCCTATTGGGCTCTGTCATATCTACACTTGAAACTGTGTATAGAGTCAGCCTCCACCACATCACTGCCTAATGCATTCCATTTGTCTACTACTCTGACACTGAAAAAATTCTTTCTAACGTCTCTATGGCTCATCTGGGTACTAAGTTTCCACCTGTGTCCCCTTGTTCGTGTTCTACCCGTGCTAAATAGTTTGTCTTTGTCCACCCCTGTCAATTCCCCTGAGAATTATGTAGGTGGTTATCATGTCTTCCCCTTATTCTTCTGTTTTCCAGGGACGTGAGGTTCAGCTCCATAGCCTTTCCTCGTAGCTCATACCTCTCAGTTCCGGGACCAGTCGTGTGTGTGTGTGGTCGTTGGTGCTCCCTTCCATATATCTCCAACATTTATCCCCTCTCTGGTCTCTCTCTCTCTCATTCTTTCTTCTCCCTTTCCTATATTTATGTCCCTTTTGTCCTGCTTCTCGTCCTCTTTCCTCGTCTTTCAAGCATTCCTGGACTTCCTGTTCCTCTTTTTACTCTTCTGTAAGACTGTTGTATTGGAAGATGTGTTAATCAATACATCTTCCTTCTGAAGAAGTATTGATTAATAAGAAAGTACTTAAGGAATTTCCTGTCTCATTTTTTTTAGTTCGAAGTCGACAGTGTCACATTATTCTTCACGTGTTAATTTAATAATGTTTTACACCCACACACACATATATATATATATATATATATATATATATATATATATATATATAAACAGTTGCATATTGTCCTGGGGACCATTCAGGCTTGTTCGCATATATATATATATATATATATATATATATATATATATATATATATATATATATATATATATATATATATATATAAATATTTTTACCCATGAGACTGTATTATGTGATCCACAGCTAAGCTTTAGCTTGTAGGGATCGAAGCTAAGCTTGCTAAGAGCACCCTGGTCATTTTTCTTAAGCGACAAGCTGAAAAACGCCGGATTGAGATGAAAGGTCAACTTTGCACTGGTTTAAGTTACGGGACATCTGCAGAGACATTTTTTTGGCTGTCTTTTTATGTAACAAGAAAAGTTGAATGATTGGGATTCCCTGTTTTGTATTGTCAAATTTTTACTTTTAATATTAGTGATTTTTGTGTTTATAATATTGTAGTTATTACACAAGGAAATTGCTTGAGAGGATTTTATCAGAGGAAAAATAAATTGGTTAAAATTGCGGGGTCCAAGAGCTAATAGCTCGATTCTGCAGGCACACATAGTAAATACACACACACGCAGAGATACCAGAGGGCCAGGAATGAGTACCTTAGAGTGAGGAGAGAAGCAGAGAGACAGTATGAAAATGACATCGCGAGTAAAGCCAAGACCCAACCAAAGCTGCTCCACAGCCACATCAGGAGGAAAACAGCAGTGAAGGAACAAATGATGAAATAGAAAAGATGAAAGAGAACAGATACACAGAGAATGGCAAGGAGGTGTGAGAAGAAGAGATTCCAGGAGGTCTTCACAATAGAGTAAAGAGAAGCCCCCTGCACTAAGAGAGGCGACGGCAAACCAAACATCCTTGGAGAAATTCCAGATCACCAGTGATGAGGTCAAAAGGAATCTGTTGGAGCCGAAGACAACGGCTGTTTGGACCTGACAGAATCTTATCGTGGATACTAAAAGAGGTTTTAGAAGCACTAAGAGTGCCACTCTCTATGGTGTATAACAGGTCACTGGAAACAGGAGACCTACCTGAAAGTTGGAAGACAGTTAATGTAGTCCCAATATACAAAAAAGGGTGACAAGCAAGAGGCACTGAACTACAGGCCAGTTTCCCTAACTTGTATACCATGCAAGGTTATGGAGAAGATCGTGAGGGAAAGGCTCGTAGAACATCTGGAGGGAAAGCGCTTTGTAACACAACACCAGCATGGGTTGAGAGATGGTAAATCGTGCCTCACAGGCTTAATAGAATTTTATGACCAGGCGACAAAAATTAGGCAAGGAAGAGAAAGTTGGGCAGACTGCATTTTCTTAGACTATCAGAAAGCCTTGGACACAGTACCCCATAAAAGGCTGTTACAAAAGTTGGAGAAACCGGCAGGAGTAAAAGGTAAGGTGCTCCAGTGGATAAGGGAATATCTAAGCAAGAGGAAACAGCGAAAAACTGTGAGGGGGGAGACATCAGAGTGGCGAAATGTCACCATTTCAGTCCCACAGAGCTCTGTACTTGGACCCATCCTATTTCTGATATACTAGAAATATACCAGAGGGTATATACTCATTCCTCTCAATGTTTGCTGATGATGCAAAAATTATGAGAAGACTCAAGACGGATGAAGATAGACAAAGGCTACAGGACGACCTGGACAAACTGGAGGAATGGTCTAGAAAATGGCTACTAGAGTTTAACTCAGGAAAGTGTAAAGTAATGAAATTAGCGAAGAGAGCAGTAGGCTGGATACAAGGTATCATCTGGGAGGTGAAATACTGTAAGAGTCAAATAGAGAGAAAGATTTGGGGGTTGAAATCACACCGAACCTGTCCCCAGAAGCCCACATCAAAAGGATATCATCAGCGGCATATGCTACTTTGACCAACATAAGAATGCTTTTAGAAACTTGGGTAAGGAATTGTTCAGGACCTTGTATACCACGTATATAAAACCAATCGTGGAGTATGCAGCTCCAGCCCGGAGTCCATACTTAAACTCAAAACAATACCTAGTTTAACAAAACAAATTTAGAGAAGATTCAGAGATATGTCACCAGACTAATCCCAGAACTGAGAGGTATGAGCTACGAGGAAAGGCTACGGGAGCTAAACCTCACGCCCCTGGAAGACTTAAGAGTAAAGGGAGACATGATAACCACCTACAAAATCTTCAGGGGAATTGACAGGGTGGGGACAAAGACAAACTATTTAAGGGGTGGACCACGAACAAGGGAACACAGGTTGGAAATTTAGTACCCAAATGAGCCACAGAGACATTACAAAGGCGGGATCCTGGAGTTAATATTTCGATTACACACACACAGCCGGTGTGTGAGGGGCCGGTGGCTGAGCGGACAGCACGCTGCACGCGTGATCCTGTGGTCCCGGGTTCCATTCCGGGCGCCGGCAAGAAACAATGGGCAGAGTTGCTTTCACCCTAATGCCCCTGTTTCCTAGCAGTAAATAGGTACCTGGGAGTTAGTCAGCTGTCACGGGCTGCTTCCTGGGGTGTGTGTGTGTGTGTGGGGAGAAAAATAATACCAGTAACAGTTGACCGATAGTTGAGAAGCGGGCCTCAACGCGCAGAGATCAACCCCCGCAAGCCTAACTAGGTGAATACTGAGGCAGTGAGACAGGCAGACAAGCATATATGCTATATTACCAGTAATGTATTTCTTAATAAATTTAACATAATACAGTATATATACATAATGAATAATACAAATAACTGATAATAAATGCAATTCTTAATATATACAAATCATTAATACATAATGAATGATAACACATACAATACTAATAATTAAAATAATAAACATTGAAGGAACTAATAATTAAGCCTAGTAACTGATATCGGCTGGAGTCAAAACAAAGTTCTAGAAGAAAGTTCTTTCTTTACTTGCTAGAGAGAGTAGACTCTTTGGACTGTAATGTCTCTCTCTCTCTCTCTCTCTCTCTCTCTCTCTCTCTCTCTCTCTCTCTCTCTCTCTCTCTCTCTCTCTCGTCTCTCTCTCTCTCTCTCTCTCTCTCTCTCTCTCTCTCTCCCTCTCCCTCTCTCTCTCTCCTCTCTCTCTCTCTCTCTCTCTCTCTCTCTCTCTCTCTCTCTCTCAAACACAATGAAACTGGGCTAATCTCGTCGTTAACATTTCAGAGAGAAGGCAGTGCGGAACGGACCAATGGGCGATCAGAAGACGTGCCACCTAGGGAACCAGCTGGCCACTTGACCAATGGGGATTCACCTAACAGACAATCCCCCGTCCTATTGGCCAGGGACCCAGAGGGCAGCCCCAAGCCTCTCTCCGTTGGTGAGTACAGACAGACAGACATGTTATGCTCTTGTTATGATTCGTGTGGAGGACTAAAATGCAGGAAATAAACGCTATTCTTTGAGGATTCGTTCAACGTCTCGTATCACAAATTGTGGGAAGATGAGGGTAAAGTGGTGAAAGAAAATGGGAAGCTGGAAAATGGGGTAGATTTTCAAGACGGGAAGGTAAGAAATGGGGCAGAATTTTTGGGCGAGATCGGGATGTTGTTGTGGTTAAAGATTCGTTATTTAGAACAAAAAAGTTCCAAGTAACACGGGCTATGGTGAGCCCGTAGAGATCGGGAGAATCAAGGGCAAATAGTATTTATAAATCTTGTGATCGTATATTACCGGGAAGTAAGGAAGTAATTATCAAAAGAAGGCGCCAAGCCCCAGGGGGGGGGGGGAGACTGTGTTGTTTATTGCCCGGGAGAAAAATCTAAATAATTACAAAAATATATCTAAATAATTACGAATAGTATCTAATTACACCCAGAAATACATGTTGATTTTCGAAAAATGTAAATCTAATTAATTTCAATAAATAATTAAATTTATACAAATTTGTTTCTTTTCGACAAATAATTAGTTCCTGTAATTTAGTGGATTTTTTTACTTCTTATTTTTTTCAGGACTAAATTTTGTGGCAATTGAAAATCTATTTTTTTACTTATTTTTATAAGAATTTAGTAGAATGTAAATATTTAGCAAAAAAACAAATTATTATCATAAAATTTCTGTATTAATTACACGCAGAAATACTCTACAGTATACCAATTTTTGGACGTAATTAAGAGCTGTAGCAGAGAGCTTTTATCAGAATTGAAATTGTCATTTTTTTGGTTTACTTTTAATGATAAATGGTCCCCCCTGAAGAAATAAACATCTCTTATATAACAAAGCCTCGTCATTAAGAACCACATCTCAGCCTCTGGAGGGTTAGTATAACGCCAGTATACTATAGTATACTATAATAATTATAATAATATTTTTTTATTTAGGCAAAGGTACATACATAAAGAGATTTTACAAAGTTTGTTGGCTTTATAGATAAGAGCTAGTACATACAATGCCTAAAGCCACTATTACGCAAAGCGTTTCGGGCAGTTATTTAGTATACTATAGTATAGTCTGCTGGCCAGTATATCTCGTTCTTCAACCCATTCTCCTGTTTAGATAGTTGTTTTTGTACACTTGAGAACCGGTTAAGATTTCAATCTTATTAAATACAGTACCAAGCAGAACTATATTTTGGGATGTGGGTGGGTGGGGGGGGGGAGAAGAGTGGAATAGGCTATATTCTTAAGTTGGGCAATTGTAATTTTTCATATATTATAAAATATCAACTATATAACTTCATGGAAGCTTTATGTCAATTCTAATTATTGTTATTACAAATTACGACAATAGTCAAGGAATTGTGATAAAATACTAACAAAAAAAAGAGTGTTATTTCCGGAATGTCGCGTCTAAATATTAACATTGTTAATAATACTAATTAACTTAATTTTTTGGACCATAGATTTATTAAAAATAGTACTAATCTAAATGATTTTTTTTTTGTCTTCTAAATTAAACTGACGAAACGTCCAAGGGAGATAACTTTGTATTTAAAAGACATTATACACGGAGATAAAAATAAGAGCAACGTTCAAGGTATTATTTATAATAATGAAATAGGCACTAAGGAATGACGAGAGCCTTGAATACTTCCTGAATTAAGTAAACCCCGAGATTAAAACCTTAAAAGTAAGATTATTACACGTTACACTATTTCTTATTACATTACAGTATTTGTTATATATATATATATATATAATATATATATATATATATATATATATATATATATATATATATATATATATATATATATATATATATATATATATATATATGTCGTACCTAGTAGCCAGAACGCTCTTCTATGCCTACTATGCAAGGCCCGATTTGCCTAATAAGCCGAGCTTTCATGAATTAATTATTTTTCGACTACCTAACCTACCTAACCTAACCTAACCTAACTTTTTCGGCTACCTAACCTAACCTAACCTATAAAGATAGGTTAGATTAGGTTAGGTAGGGTTGGTTAGGTTCGGTCATATATCTACGTTAATTTTAACTCCAATAACAAAAAATTGACCTCATACGTAATGAAATGGGTAGCTTTATCATTTCATAAGAAAAAAATTTGAGAAAATATATTAATTCAGGAAAACTTGGCTTATTAGGCAAATCGGGCCTTGCATAGTAGGCTGAGAAGTGCGTTCTGGCTACTAGGTACGACATATATATATATATATATATATATATATATATATATATATATATATATATATATATATATATATATATATATATATATATATATATATATATATATATATATATATATATATATATATATATATATATATATATATATATATATATAACAAGAGAATGTGTCTTTGTCCTAAGTTGGAAGCCAGACACTCGGCGCTAGCCTCACCTACATTTGCAGGGGGGATGGTCTGGGGTCGGGGACGGTTATAGGGAGGTCGGGATAAGTCTAAGTTAAATGCTTTAAGAAATATTAGCAATTATAAACAACCCCTAAAGGCCGTTTTCATGGCGTCGAGTGTGAAATATAGTTTGCGATTAACGTGGAGTAGTTAATGAATGTAAACACAGGTAACTACTAGCGGCAGGTGTGGCCTAGTACCCCGTGGTGTAGGCCTAGACCCCGGGGGGAGGCTAGGCCTGGCGGGCACTGGGGCAGGTGTTTTAAGGAAGATGAAGGACCATCAAGTTAGCTTTGTTCTATTCCACACTCAAAAGTGACTAACCATCCTGCTATGATGGTTAACTTTTCAGTGTCACTGTTACCTCCTTCACTCCTGTGTCCTCGTAATGCAGCCAGAGTGTGCCAGTGCAGACTACTGATCACATGGCCCTGTATGACTCTCCATGCCGTGTGGTGGGCAGTTTAACCTTCACGTAACTAGTTCTTGACACTCTGTACTCTCCTTCATATAGTCTAGGGCAGCTAGTTCTTGACACACTCTGTACTCCCTT